GAGCATACAATTTATGTAGCCTGTCTGCTCTTCAGTTCATGCATGAATTAAATAGTGGTGATTTAGATTTAGTCATGTTTATGAACAAGTTTGAGTCCTGCATGGAAAAACATCAACTGTCTAGACATTTAATCTATTATTAATTATAGTTCTTATTCCCTTTTACATCAAAGAGAAGCAAGTGGTATCTCTGATGTACCTGTTTTCATAGCAAGTCCCTAACAAGTGTGACAATATAGCAAGGCTGTGATTTTATGAAAAAAGCAGATTCTGGAAAGGAGTAATTTGTTTAAGCCTCTGCACCCCTTTTTCTCTCGCCCTCCAGACCAGCATTAACAGCATGCTGAGTGTATATAGTGAAACTGGTGACTATGGCAACGTGAAGGTCAGCGGCGAAATCCTTCTCAACATCAACTACAGCTACAAAACGGGTGCCCTCAACATCCTGGTAAAAAGTTGCAGAAACCTGGCTGTTGCAGATGAGAAGAAGCAAAGGACTGATCCGTAAGCACGGAGAAGAATTTACTTTTAGGCTCTGCTAGGGGTGTCCTCCACATCACACACAGTGACGTAGCCTGGGGTTGTGATAGGAGCCTCACAACTCATAGGATCCTGTTGCTACAAGCCAGTGTTTTGATGATGATTGGGTTTGGATTCCCTGTGGGAAATGCATTTTTAATGTGTTTCTTAGGGCACTGTGTGCCTGTTTTGGCGAAACAGTAAGAATAATTGAATTATCAACTTGTTTGATAGCAATCTCTGCAAGGGCAAAAAATACAAAGGAATAGGGAGGCTGAATTGATTTCTTACTTCTAGAATCAAAGCTAAAATATATGAGAGGAGTGATATTTTGGAGGGAGAGAGGGATAGAGATAACTTTGGTTTCATGCATCCATAGATTCACTTTGCAAGGACCACCTTTTCTGAGCTTCTCATTATAGTTTTCAGTATAACATGTAAATTCTCTCATCAGGAAGTAGTAATTAGTGTCTTTAATCATGTGTAATCCTATAGTAACCAAGGTATGAAGTTTTTCATTCTCTTGTGTTTTCAGTGTATGTGTTTCTGTATGTAACCAGTCAGTAATCTTATACTACAAAAGGGAAAGTGTTAGGAAAGCTTTCTGCATTTCTGAGGATAAGTAAATTAATTTAGCTTTGCCTTTTATTGTTCTGATCCTATCTGAAAAACATTGCTAAATTCATAGACCATGCTTTTCAATGTTTCATGTATTCTGTTACATGTGTGCATTGTTTAGACTGCAAAAATTAATTTCTACATATGTGTTGCTGACGCAGCAATGTCAGGTCCTTGATCAAACTGGTCATTTTTATTCCTTGCTAATAATTTACTACTTGATCTGCAGATATGTCAAAGCATACCTTCTGCCTGATAAGTCTCGCCAAAGTAAACGCAAGACCAAAATTAAAAGTAACAGCACCAATCCAGAATTTAATGAAACACTGAAGGTGAGAACACTGTCTCGCTCTGTCTGTGATGAATGTGCTGCCTGTGTTCACAGGCATTTTCTGTAAGTGTTCCAGTATGGGGATTAGAATTTGGAAGAGATGCCTCAAAAGGAATGTATTTAAGCAAAACCCTCTAGTAATCCTACAAGTTGTAATTGCTGGCTTTCAGCATTGAGGAAGTGTTTTTGTTTGGTTCTTCCCTTTATAGGTAAAACTTCTATTAGTTTCCATAGATCTCTTTCAAAACTGCTGATGTTCCTGTCTAACCTGAGCTCAGAGATGTTGAAAGCACCCTAATGATTTTGTAAGCCCCAAGTTAGCAACTGATGCTGAAATGGAGCTAGATTAAAACTTCCTATATAAGTGATTTTGAAGAGAAAATAAATAAGATTTTGCAGTAAAGTCTGAATTTCTCTGGAGGCTTTTATTTTTAAAGCAGAACTGACTTTGATGAGAAAATACAAACAATAACTTCACTACCTGTCTTCCTATAAAGCTGTGGTAAAGTTCATTTTCTGTTGCAAAAGACAGTGACAGTTTACTTCCTTGGAGGCTGGTGGAGCAGAGCACCCAGGCTTTTCCTTCCTTGCCTTTTACCCACATCCACTACAAAGGCTGAACTATTTTGATTTTGAACTCCTCATGACCTGCTTATTCACTTCGTTGTCTCTGTGGTGCAGGTGGGAATGGCAGAGTTTCTGCCCAGTTTGCTGCTTGTCTGACATGTGGACCACAAGGCTCCTGGTGATTCCCCTTCTTTGCCTATTGACAAAAGTTATCCCAGCCAGCTGTTGTGAGGCCAGAAACTCTTTTCAGTTTCTCCTGAAATATTTTTTTTTTGTAATGCCAGTGATGTTTTAATGTAAGTTTCTTATAATAGAGGCTAATAGATGTTCCCTGGCCAGTATACTTGGCTTAACCTGGCTACAAAACCATTTTGCAGACTAACACACACTTGGTCTGGCCAGAATGCTTGCCAAGGGAGAGTCTCTTGTATAGCCTCATTTTTAAATGGTTTATAGTAAAGGAAAGACTTGCCTGAACTGGAAAAAAAAAGATGTTAGACTCTATTTAGCAAGGAACATAGCACTAAAGAAGCTTGCTGGTAGGGAACTTGGTATGGATAAGACATAGCAGCTTGCTAAAAATGTGAATTGTAACAAAGAGGATTTACTTGAATTCTGGGTAGGTAAGCAAGAGCTACATCTGTTCATCCAAACTGTTACTACTGTTAGAGAAGAAAAATAATTAAATCTGTCTGTATCTTCCCTCTTTGACTTGTATTCCGTTGTTGCTAAATACGACATCTCTCACAGTGGAACTGTTGGCATCTAGGGTTAAGCATTGTAGACATATCTATACGTGAATAGCCTATTTGTGTGGCTCGCCAACTGACTTGACCGCTTCAGCTTTTGGAGGATATGCATCTGTGTCCAGACATTGTTCCTGATGCAAAAAAGAAGACATCTGGGTCTCCTCAGCTAACACTAGGAGAAGGGTGAATTTCAAGGAATTAATTGGCTTTTTGCTAAAAGCAGCGTGTGCAGAGCTGGAATTCCAGATGTTTATAATTTTCTGTGTATTTACTGGAATATGATGTTTCTTCAAGGGAGTTTTATAACAGCTTCCAAAACCAGCCATGGTTACTGAGATGGTGAATGCTTTGCAGATGCAGTTTTACTTGTTTCCAGAACAAGTTTTCATGAGTTACAAAGATATAATTGAAAAGGAGAGGAGGATATTGTTTCTAGAAAGCAGTGTACAGCAGACTCTCTTTAGGGGTGAAAGAACCAGTGGGGTTTCTTCTTACAAACTGAACTTTGAGGTTGATCTGCTTCTTTTACATAAACTTATAAGGAATTAACAGGATCGTAGTTTAAGCATCGTCATTTACTTTATAGTCATCAATACCCGATAAATAATACCATCATGACAGTAACATTAATTACCATTGGATGCATACTGCAAAGAAAAGAGGTAGGTTTGACATTATGAGCCTTCTAGCTAGATCAATCTTGTTTGCAAAGAAAACAAATGTCTCTCTCATGCTTCGTTTGTTAGTTGCTGTGAGCTTCGTGAAATTGAGCTAGAGTTGTAAAAGGTTCCATGGAAACTATTATTTATGCTTATTCTGAGAGTTTCTTTTTCTCTTGTTCTTTTGGTAGTATGTCATCAGCCACACTCAGCTAGAAACCAGAACCCTGCAGCTTTCTGTCTGGCACTATGACAGATTTGGACACAACAGTTTCCTTGGGGAGGTGGAAATTCCATTTGATTCCTGGAACTTTGAAAATCAGTGTGATGAGTGGTTTGTGCTCCAGCCCAAGGTAAGTGTTTCCAGGGGCCAGTGAAAGTGTTGCAAAGAAAGTTTAGCAAGGTTCAGTTATTTCAGAACATGTTCATAAAACAGTGACTTTATGAGTGTCTAATACGGTAATAAAAATAAAATCTTTCTTCTTCATTCAATCAAAACGTACTGGTTTTAAAGTCTTCATGAAAACTTTACAAGTGATTGGCTACTTAAGAGCGAACAACACCCCCCACACACACACCTTTTAAATAAACTACAAGTCCATCTGGTAATAAACTACAGTGGAGAAATGACCTGGTAAAGAAATTGATTATTTTTTTTAAAAAGCATGTAAAACAAAAGATTTTTCTACCACCCCCCCTACCGAACCCTTAACATTTTATTAAAGAAATATATCTTTTTTTCAGTTCAAAGTGCTTCACACTTTTCAGCTGTGACAAAATTGCTTACTAACCTCTTGCCCACCTTAACTAGGAAGGTACAAGATAAGACTTCTCAGCGGTCAAGTCAACTGGTCTGTAAAACAGGACTTGCTGTACTTAGCTAAGGATAGGATGACATCTGTCTCTAGGGCACCCCCTGCTTTGGCAAAGGTGTTTATTTTTTGAAGAGATTCAAAGAGCTGTAGAAAGCTAGAGGATTAAAGGCTCCTGCAGCAGCCAGAATCCCCAGAAATTCCAGTGGGTTAGATTGTCATTTCAGAAAGTGTATTTTTCTTGCTGCAGAAAAATCCAAGGTTTTACTGCAAGTGATATGGAGATAGACTCAGATTACTCGTTTGCTATGTGTTCATTATTTTTAAGGAAATAGTGTTATATTTGGGATTTTAGGAGGGAGTGTTTGATTTGTGCCTTGCTGTCAGATGGGAGATGTATAATTAATTTCTAGGTATAGCCCTTTGTGAGGCTTACATCTAAACTGTCGCAAATGTATATATCAGTAAATAATTTGCCAGAAGATACGTAAGGAAATTGGTCTCTTCTTTAAAATATCAATTATTGCATTTTGAATTTTTAAAAAAGCACAGGTTAATACACATGCAAATGACATGCCTTTCTCCCATATAATCTGCCTGATAGAGATGGGAGTGGCAGTGAAACATTTCCTGGGATTAATACAGCGCTTTATTTCATAGAATGACAGAATGGTTTGCGTTGGAAGGGACCTTAATTATCATCTAGTCCCAAGCCCCCTGCCATGGGCAGGGACACCTTCCGTCAGACCAGGTTGCTCAAAGCCCCATCCAGCCTGGCCTTGAACACTGCCAGGGAGGGGGACTTAAAGAGTCACAGTCAACGGCTTGATGTATGAGCAGAGACCGCCTCAACACCCTCACAGGAAAGAACTTCTTCCCAATATCTAATCTAAATTTCTCCTCTTCCAGTTTGAAACCATTACCTCTCGC